ACCGGCCGCTTAGAACGCAGTCATGTGATCCATCATGGGAACCACCACTCACAACTGGAGTCCAGCCAAGTTGACACATCTTCAACTATCACAGCCAGTAAGTTTGCTAATGCTGGAGGAAGGTCATCCATCATTGATTACTAGTTGCTGACTCAGCAATATCCTGATTCTGGGTGAAAGGGGATATTAGCATAGTAAATTCCACACCCCTGGGTGGAGATTTAAGATTATAATGAGATATGCTAAGGGTCACCATCTTTGTATCCATCATTGTGCATGCTTAACCTGTAATCATGAAATTGTATGTATAACATGATTGTGGTGTAATCCCCACTCTATAAAAGCATCCAAAACAACAACAAAAAAAAACAAACTCACTGCCGTGGAGTCAGATCCAACTTATAGCGAACCCTCCTTGGGTTTCGGAGGCAGTATCCCATGGAAGTAGATTGCCCAACCTTCTTTCTGAGAAGTAGGTTTGAGCTGCCAGCCTTCTGGTTAGCAGTCATATCTGAGGGACCTCCCTCTCTGTCTCAGCTTGTGCACAAACTTAATAGAAGCTATGCCTCTTACTCTCCACCTTCTTTTTTTTTTTTTTTTTTTATGGCTTAAGCTATTGAGGGACACTGTACCTAGAGATTTACATTTCTTTTCCTGTATCTATATCTGACTTCTGCTCAATTTTCTATTGGATTGCTGATCTTTCTCTTACATGTATATTAAGAGCTATTTACATATTAATTAAATTAGCCCTGTGACTAACATTTGTCCACATATCTAATAGCCATTTTTTGTTTGCCCCATGCCTTTCTGTTTTTGTTGTTTGTTTTGTTTAGTCAAATTTAATCTTGCTTTCCAATAAAGTTTCTTGATTTTGTGTCTTAATTTAAAAAGCTCTTCCCACCACCAAAAAGTTGCCAATATTTTCCTCTAGGGCTTATTATTATTATTATTATTTTGAGCCCTAACTTAGAATTTATTTCATTCCAAAGAATAAGCTATAAGGGGAGGAAACATTGAAAAAATAAAAATAATAAAGAATGAGCTATAATCTAAAAATTAATTTATTTTAAAAAGTGGCTCAATAATTCTGTGATATATTAGCATAAATATTATTTTTATATTACAACTATACTTCTGAAAACAAAATTAGTGAGAATACTAAAATTGTTTTGCATTTTTTTCCAATATTTTTAATGCCTGACTTATTAGACGATATATAGATTCCCACATCAGTTTCTGTACTCTATTTGCCTTGATATGTTGTTTGCTGAAGACATATACAGTTAAAAATGTTTAAATTGTTGAAAAATATTTGAGTATGTTTGAATATAGTTGAAACCATGAGAAGTATTTTAATAGTTTTTACCGACAATTGTGAATAGTTTTGTTAGTATACTAGAACTCAGTAATCTGAACTTATATCAATGAACAGTAATACTAAAATCCATTGGCCTGTTAAAAAAATAAAAAATAAAATTTATTTTTATTTTCCAAGTGCTTAGCTTGTTGTCTCTATACATGTAACAACCTATCTTTCCTTGATTGGTTGAAACCCATCTTTATCACAATTTACAAAGCTTTAGGTATTTGGGTCTTCAGTGGTTTCCATTTTAACCTATTATCTGTGTGTTTTATTTTAGCTTTAGAATGTATTTTTAAAGGGCTGGAGTTCCCTCATTATTATTTCAGAAATTCCCCAGCTATTTTCACAAATTACTTTTCACATAATGTTGTTAAAGACTCATTCATAAACAGTACACCCCCCAAAACCCACTGCTGTCAAATAGATTTTGACTCATAGTGACCCAATAGAATAGAGCAGAACTGCCTCATAGAGTTTCCAAGGCTGTAAATCTTTATGGAAACATACTGGCTCATCTTTCTCCTGCAGACTGGCTGGTGGTTTTGAACCCCAACCCTTTGGTTAGCAGCCAAGCACTTTAACCACTGTGCCATCAGGGATCCTTTCTAAATAACAAACACTTTAAAAATATTCCATATTTATATTCAAGAACAAGATATGCCCTTCCATTTATTTAAGTCATCATATCTTTTTCATCTCTGGGTAGAGTTTTAAAATTTCCTTTTTAAAGTCCTGCAAATTTTTTGCTAACTTTAGTGGCGTAGTACTTAAGGCACTTGACTACTAACCAGAAGGCTGGCAGTTCAAACCCACCAGCTACTGCTTGGATGGAAGGTTGGGCAATCTACTTCCATAGTGATACTGCCTCAGAAACCCAAGGAAGGATCTCTATGAGTTGGATCTGACTTAACGGCAGTGAGTTTATACCAATATGTTTTCTTTTACATCACTATTGTAAATGACATCTTTTATTCCATTACTTTTTGAATTGATTATTACCTGTACATAGAAGAGTTAATGGGTTAGGTAAATTTTATGTCAGTCACTTTTCTGCAGTCTCTTGTTTTTTTCTGGCTTTTCATTTGACACTAGTTAAATTTTCCAGATATATTAAATCATACCATCTGTCAAAAATAATAATTTTTCTTTATTCTTTATGATTTTTACTCATTTTAATCCTTTATCTTGTCTAATTGCACTGGCTAGTATGTTAAGAACAATATTAAATGATGGTATCTGTGGTTATCCTTGTCTTTTCTGTTTCTGACTTGAAAGTAATATTTATATGCTTTTAGAACATCAACATTTGGCTGGATACTGGCTTTCCTTGTAAATTTTTGGATAAAAAATGGAAGACAACAGAAAGCTACACTGACTTCTACTTCATCCCTATGTCTTGGGAGAATAGTGTAAATATCGGAGCTGCCAAATCTTCTCTTTGTTCTGATCTATTATATCCTTAATATGAATGCCATATATTTTAACTTACAGTTGTTTAAAAATGTAGTTTTAAGCATGAGGGTATGCAATAGAAATTAATTATTATGTAAACATGTAGAAAATGCAATGTATTCCAGGAAAGTAAATGTCTTTATTTGTTTATGTATTTATTTTTGGTATATTACAAACATAGAATGAAGTTGGGACAAAAGTGCTCAATATCAGAGCTGTTTTCTTTAATTTCTTATCTTCCTATACACTAATTTTCATTTTAGCTTATGTGATTTGTTTCTTTTTATTCTTACTGTTAAAAGCTTATGTGTTTGAACTCTATAAATAAATGAGCTGAAACAAATAAAACTCAATTCACTTGAGATATTGAAGACATCTGGTGCAGTTATTTTCTGAATAATTAGACCAAGGGATGGGGTGAGTCCCTGAAGTATCTCTACAGTTGAATACTCAGCTATTTCTGCAGTCTTCAGCTCACATACAGTTAACATATTGATTCACAAATTGACAAACAATTATGTAGTGTTGCCCACTAATTTTCTAAGACCATGTATGTTATATATATATATATATATATATATATATATATATATATATATATGTATATATATATATATATATATATTCCATGTGCTCTTTTAAAAGACATCTCTTCTTAGTTCTTTATTATTTCTTATGTTTCATTACCTTGTTATATGATGTTAGCAACATTTAAGGTAGATTTGCCTTAGGTGCTGGTTCTATTCTCCCTTGGTGAATCCAACAACTGGACACAAATATAAGTTACTTCCATTATTTTGGACTTTGAAAATAGAGACCCATTTTGTACATAGATATTATTCTATGGAGGAAAATAAATATGTAAATGCTTCCATTTTTGTCATAGTTGTCATATTTACCTTGGGAATATTGTTCAAAATATATGTCCTAATATATAATCATTCTCTCTGCCAGGTAGCAAAGATATTTACACCACTGTAGGAAGATAGATATCTTTCTGATGTTTTTTTTAACTCTCAGAAAGCCTACAACTATCCTAAGTTATCCATTATAGAGTAAAAAATTGCTATCAAGAAATTCTTCTTTACAGCAAATCTAAAATCAAAGGTTATTAAAATATAGTTCATCTTCTCTATGGCTTTGATATTTTACTTTTAAGGGTGACGTTTACAGAGCAATATAGTCAGAAATGTTAGTCATACCAGGGGCAAGGATACTCCAGCCAAGATCCAAAGAGAAGTTGAATACTTATGCAGAAGCTCCCGTTACCACTTCTCCACTTCGCTTGGATCCTGCGCTATCAATGTCCTCAGTCATATAAAGGTTCAGATAAGAGTTAGGTGGTTAGGATTCATTTTTGGATGTAAGTTATGGATAAAGGATGTTTTGAATCTGCAATGTTTATAAATTTTAAGAAATATATGGGGGAAATTATACAAGTACATTAACATTTTGACAATGATGTAAATAAGAACAATTTATCTTTGGCTGAATATGCTCCTCAGATTTCAGGGCATTTAGTAATGATGTCAGCTACCACACAAGTGAAAGTGAAGAATTTCTCTTATTAGAATGTTTTACATTAATTCAGTCTATTCACTCTCATTTATCTTTCTAAGCATGAACCATGTTTTAATGCTATGTAGCCCAACGGGAATCAAGTCAGGGTGTACTCATCACATTTTACTTGGAAATGTATGGAATGAGTTTATCAAATCTTAACTTATTGTTTTTTTTTTTTTTAACCAAAGGAGAACAATGCTATTTTCTATTTCTGTTTCACCAATTGAAAGAACAGTATGCCAACACACCAGACTAGTGAGTAAGTGAATATTGAACAGCCATCCAAACGCAACAGAAAACTCACCAGAGGTTTCATCTACTCTCTCATCTACTATGTGGTCCTTCTGATGAACCCATTCACTATTGCACTTGAAGTAGATCTGGGTGGCGGGGCTGGCTTTACAATATAGGTTCACAGGCTTATTCTTCACAATGTAAGCTTCTTCAGGTTCAATAAGGAAATGTGGCAGAGGCTCAGGTGGATCAGATGGAAAGGTTTCTGGGAGTTCATGAAAAAAGTCATCGTCTAGTAAAACAAGAAGAAAGTGGAAAATGGTCAAAATATTGTGACAATTGGCCTTTGCTTCTGACTTAAAATAATGGTTCATAAATGAACTAATTAAGTCCTCTGAATGTCTGTTACATGTCAGGCAGTGTGGCAGGTTCATTAAATACATTATCCCAATTATGGATTACGTATTACTATTCTCGTTTTTACATAGGGTAACACTGAACATTGGGGAGGATAAATATCTTACCCTGAGCACACATCTAGGAAATAGCAGAACAGGGATTGAACCTAGTTTGTCTCCCTGAACAACTCTCATTTTTCCAATATATTTCCCATTATACAGGGCTTCCCATAAGAACAGACAAAAGAATATGCAACTTCAGTATAAAAATTTGTTTGAAAAGTGTAAAGCTCATAAATAAACCTCATATTCTTTGCAAGGAGCTGAGAAGAAGACCAAAACAACAACAAAAAAACCCCACTAAGTTCAAACTCAAGTCTATTATTATTTTCAAAAGATATCACTGCATGAAATACTCATTCATTTATTTACTCTTCATTCAACCAAAAAAATATTTTTTTAAAGCTCATTTAATTTAGAACTAGAGACGATAATTAACATCACATCAGTCAATATGGTGTAACCTAGTTTTGTTTGGTATACTACTGAGTGTTGTAGCATACTACTGAGTGTTATCATGAGTAATAACCTCATTGCATGTAGCACTGAAAATGATCAAACATATTGCTCCCACCCTGCTGTTCCAGCATCATTGAATAAACAAAACCTAAAAACCACTTGAGATATTTGCACACTTTAAAGTATATTTCTTTAACTTTACATTTTGCATGATTTCAAATAATAAAAATAAAACGTCCTATTCTACAAAAAAGGATCTGTGGTTGAGTAGTGGGTAAGGCAATTGACTGGTAACCAGAATGTCAGTGGTTCAAACTCATCAGCTACTCCAGAGGAGGAAGATGAGGCAGTCTACTTCTGTAAAGATTTATAGCCTTGGAAACTGAACAGGGGTCAACATGAATCAAAATTGACTCAATGGCAGTGGGCTTTGGATCCTATAAAGCTTCCTGTTATGTTTATAAAAGTCCAGGTGAGAAGATTCTTCCCAATATACCATAAATAATTTGAACATGATGATTCTCTTCCTATGGGTGCATAAGGGAACTAAACTATTATTAATCTTAAAATTGATCAAGCACTATGATCAATTTAAGGTTGAAACTGAGGTCAAAATTAACCATTTTCACAAGTCCTTTGGGCTACATAGCATTAAAACATGGTTCATGCTTAGAAAGATAAATGAGAGTGAATAGACTGAATTAATGTAAAACATTCTAATAAGAGAATTGTGAAAGGTTAATGTGCTGATAAATATAAATAAAAATATATATATATATTCAGTAGCAAGTATAGCATATGGTATTGGTAGTTAATGACTAGTTGCTAATATGTCACCTTAAAACTCCTTTCATTCATTCATTCAATTGTTGCTCTGCCTTGGCAAATAGCCATGCATGAAGCAGAAATCAGTTCATTGAGAAACCTGGCACCAGAGTTTTTTCATCTGGGTCATGAGATGTTGTTGTTGTTTGTTGCCATCGAGTCGGACCCAACTCAGCGACCCCTCCTTGGGTTGCCAAGGTGGTATAACTACAGAAGTAGATTGCCCAACCTTCCTTCTGAGGAGTGGTTTGTGGGTTTGAACCGCCAGCTTTCTGGTTAGCAGTCAAGTGCCTTAGGCATTGTGCTACCAGGTCATGAGATAGCTTGTTCAATAGTAGTGACTTCTTATCACTGCCAATCTGTTTTGCAGTGAAAATTGTCTCCATTTATATCACAGACAAAACTAGCTTTCAAACCTTCTCTACAATTGTAAATTCCTGACACTTAAATCTTAATGGTGTTTCCTGTAGCTTGTGTTCTTTCTCACTTTGCCTCATTAATTTGCTTTCTTCTGTCAGGGCATCATTTCTAGTTTTTCTGTTGTTGAACATCAAGGACCCAAACTGTCAGCTTACTAAAGAATAACCTTGTTTCCATCAATTTCAGCTTCTTTTGTCAATAAGCAGGCACACTCAGGAGTGTTTAAATAAATATAGCTCAGAAAGGCAGAAGGATGGAAAACTGAGCTATTGGCAGATCCATCAACACAGAGCTGACGTCTTGAAGGCCTTATCCAACATATTTTTTTCCCTGAAGCACTTACTGTTATAGGCAATGACAGACAGTGCTGATAATCAATAAAACTCCACAAAATATCAAACTTGAAATCCCCTAGAGAGTTACTGATTATATTTACTTATTATTATTCATGAAGGCATTTGGTCAATTAGACAGTTTTAATATTGGTGTATGTTTGTACACACAAAAATGTTTGTATGCATTTCACAACTATTTCTTTAAGTATGTGAAGTATAAAAAGCCTTAGAAAATGATATTTGTTCCTTTAGAAGGAACAATGAATGCAAGATATCAGATGATTGTATACCATTTACCTTATTCAATAAAGCAGCAAAACTACTTTACATTCACATCTTACTGAAAGAGTTTACAGAGAGACACTAAAAATTGATTATTATGCTGCCTTGCCAAAGGATGTATTTTTCTTTCTTCTGGTTATTTAATTGTAAACTACTGGAAAGACTAATGGAAGCTGAGAAAGTCACACATATGTTTTCAAATCAAAAGACTCTGTTAAATGCTGGGGAAAAAAGTAGTAATGTTTCAATAATGTATTTAGGAAATGTATGGAAAACTAATTTTGAGACAAGAGGATTACTACATATAAAGGGAAATAAATCTCTGTGTTAAGCAACACTTCAAATGTAACCTGCGAATTCTTCATGTACTAAATACAATGTTTTTTATATATCATTTTAGTTTCTGTATGAACTCATCTCTTAAATTTGACAGAGAGATGTCTTAACCATACACACACACACACACACACACATGTATATACACACACACACACATATGCAAACAAGTTGATTCCGAGTCACAGAGACCCTATAGAAGAGAGAACTGCCCTATAGGGTTTCCAAGGCTGTACATCTTATGGAAGCAGACTGCTGAATCTTACTTCTGCAGAGTAGCTGGTGGGTTCCAACCACTGACCTTTTGATTAGCATCCCAGAACTTAACCATTATGCTCCACCAGGGCTCCATCTTATAAGTATACTACATTCAAGTTTATGCCCTGGATGAATTCACTTCTAATAATTCTAATATGCATTATGTCACTTCTAATATTCAATTTGGGAGCTCTGGTAGCATAGTGGCTAAGACACTTGCCCGCTAACCAGACGGCTGGAGGTTCAAACCCACCAGCCACTCCTCGGAAGGAAGGTTGGGCAATCCTACTTCCGTAGTGATACTGCCTCGGAAACCCAAGGAGGGGTCGCTATGAGTCAGGGCTGACTCGACGGCACATAACAACAACAACAACAATATTCAATTTAGGTGTTGATAATGGCATTATTAAAAATAATTTTCAAAAGTTTGAGAAAGCAAAATATATATAACTAGACAGGGGATAGATATGACAAAGTACAAGTGGGTTGATCTTCAGTGGTTCACAGGCTGTTGTACAATTCTTCATTTCTCCATTTGCAACAGATGGTCCAGCAATCATACCCAAACATAGAAGTTGGCCCAGATAACAACTCTCTCACCATCAAGTTAAGTATAGTGAGAGAATACTTTCTGAATAAAAATAATGACAAGTGTCAGTATTAATTTCCAGGTAAAGTGGTATTTTAGCAATTATCTTTTTATGAAATTTTATCCTAAAATTTTCTTTTTATACTAAGTTTTGAAAATCAAACAAGAAAACCAATTATTTTCAATCAAAATAATATATATTTATTTCACACACACACACACACACACACACATATATATATATATAAGATTCTACTTAGGCAACTAGTTTTATTTAATTATTACCAATTTCAAAGAACTGGAAATAGAGAACAAATGCTCTTTGAAGACTAGAACTATGTCATTTCCAGTTTTATATTCCAACAGTCTAGCACAAAGATCCCTGGGTGATGCAGACAGTCTATACTTGGCTAGTAACCCAAACGTTGCCTGTTCAAATCTACTCAGTGGCACCACAAATGATCCAGACCTGGTCATATATAAAGCTTCCATACAAGTGACAGACAACCCAATTCCTGCATATACAGAGTTCCCCCAAATGAACACTTAAACAAATGCCTCAACCACAGTCTAGCATAGGGCCAGGCATATTGTTATTGTTGTTAACTACCATTGAGTTGGCTCTTGACTCACAGAAATTCCATGCACAATGGAATGAAATGCTACCAGATCCTGTGCCACCCTCATAATCAGTTGAAGATTGGACCTTTGTAATCCATAGGGTTTTCATTGGCTTATTTTTGGAAGTAGATAGCAGATCTTTCTTTCTAGTCTCTCGGTTTGGAAGCTCCACTGAAACCTGTTCAACATCAGAGCAACACACAAAGCTCCAATGACATATGGATAATGTTTGCACAGGAGGTATAATGGCTGAGAACGAACCTAAGTCTCCCAAGTGGAAGGCAAGAATTCTATTAGTGAGCCACCAATGCCTCACAGGCACATTATAAGAGGTCAGCAAAAATCTTATGAAAGCTTGGATATTATATTAAAGGCAATTTTAGCAATTCCTAAAAGATTCATAAGATATTTTAGCATTTATAATGTCCCTCAAATTCATTTAAAATTATAAAATGTCATAGTAACAGGGACATCTATGAACAGGATTGGCTACAAAATTTGTGGGGCCAAGTGCAAAATTTAAACACGGAGCCACTATTTGTTGAAAAAATTATGAAGAAATTGAAGATGGTGACATAGAGTATTAAACCAAGAGCAGGTCCTGTGTGACTGCAATGGACACACGCCCAACCTGTCTACAAACTAGTAACTGAGTGTCGCGCTTCATGGAAAATCTGAGGAATGACATAACATTTTTATGAATGGCTAT